GTGTACGAACGAGATATCCAGCAACAAGAAGAAGGAAAAGGATTGAATAGAGGAACTCCCGAGCATTTGGCGATCTCAGATGTGTCGATATCAATGGTGACTCATTATTTCGATGAATCATTTCTTCGGACAGAAGAAGATTATGTAAACACTTACTCGAGATCTCACTTATCAGATTCCATTGTGGAAGACACAATTTTTTCTGAAGAATTCGCCATGATATACCTGATCCATGCATAATATCATGAAAAATGGGTACAAATTTTTGACTAAGTAGTTGGAGTTGTTTAAAAAGTGGGTACAAGTTAAAAGTTTTTAAAAAATGAGTATAAATTAAATGGGAGCGACCAAATAGGGCGCCCCGTGCAATTTTTACTACTTTTGCTTATTTATTTTCATTACTTTATTTTCAGCTCTTTTAGCCTAATTCTACGATTCATTTGACAAAGCTTTGATTCAAACCAATTGCCAGTGACCCCATTAAAAATAAATTTGCCTATTTATTTCTGACACTATTTTTGTAGTAAAAAAAGGTGTAATTTATGAATTGTGGAGACCATAATTTATCTTTGTGTTTTAATGAATTGATTATTTTAGTGAAACGATCGTTACTTGGACAAATGATAAAATGACTCAAGGTTTTATATTAAACCAAGGAGGTGGAAATGGTTGCCATTTTGGGAAGAAATAATCAATTGAGGAAACACTGATTAGAAGTTATGAACTATAAATAATGAGTGGACACCTTATAAAGTTGTTGGTAATTTTATTATTTCCTTAGGTGGAAATACGTCTTGTTCTTTTAAGAATTTCATGTTTTATCCAATTTGCCAATTAATTGACAATTCATCAAGTTGGTGAAGCATTTATTTGTTATTTTATTTTATTTTAACTTTTAATTGTTTGTTATCACCGTATACAACTTTTGTCTTGCTTCTAAGGTTCCTTTCCCATTTCCTTATTTGTTTTTTAAATTTATGTATATCAGAATTGAAAGTTTGAATATGTTTTTATCCTGCAAAGTGATAAGTCTGTAATAATTCAACGAAAGAATACTTTGCACAGGAATTATATTCCGCGGGATTTCGACAAGTGACTTTTTTCTTTGGTTAACCAACTTTTTGAAAATTTAAGACCTAATTAACTTTTGCGGTTTCTTTGAAAAAGATAAAACTCTAGAGCTCGTTTGGACATAAAAAAAATTCACTTTTTTTTCGAAATTTTTTTAATTTTTTTTCGAAATCAATGTTTGGTCATAAAATTTTCAACTTTCACTTGAAGATGAATTTTTGAATTTTTTGAAAATTTAAAAAACTCCAAAAAGTTATTTTCAAAATTTTCACCGAGATCACTCACAAAAACTTCAAAAACAATCTAAAATTATATTCATATCCAAACACAACTCTAAATTTCAAATACTATTTTCACTTTTGTTTTTGGGAATTTTACCATTCTTATGTCCAAACGCCCACCTAGTTTACTCTCTACATTCTAGTTTAGTTTTAAAACGAGAATGTAGAATTTCAACAAGTTTATGGTTAGTAGTTAAAATCGGATGAAGCAAATATAAAATTGTAGATTAAGATTAAAGAGTAAAATTAAAATTTTCACATGCTAACATAAGAGTAGATAATACAATTAGTTATTGGTAGCCAAAAGATTATTGCATTCTTACTGGAGTTGTGTTGATTGAGTTATCCCATTAGAGGAAAAGAAAAATTAAAATAAATTTTGCACTTTTTGACGTTAAAGATTTCGTTCCTCAAGCTTTAATAAAAGAAGAGGATTGTAGTAAGTTGACGACTAATATAAAAATACTATTGTAGACAATTAAAATTTTATTAAATTTGAATCCACAAGTAATTTAAATTTTATCATATATTAAATACATATTAGTCCAAATGATACTATGGGCTAGTATAATCGGGTTGATTATTTAAATATAAAATAAATTGATTTAAATAAAAGTCCAATGTATTATTGGGCTAGTCCGTCAGTTGGTCTTCTATCAAATGGACCGGCCCATAAGTCTCAAGCCCAATGATCCACTAGGGTTTACTCCACCCACACCTATATAAAGGGGTCAAGGGAGAAGGCTAAGGGACAAGCAAATAAGCAGAAGGAAAGGCCGAAGAAGCTCAGAAGAATGGCATCAAGGTCTCCATCCATATCTGCAATCATCGTCTGTGGTCAAATTCCAAAGGCAAACTCAAGTCATAGGCGGACGACTTCAAATCTTCCGTTCGTGATAACTCAACACCAAATCCTGGTTCGTGACGACCTTCAAATTGTTCGTGACGTACTATACATCTGAAATCCGTCAAGTTCAAGATCAAGCTTTCAAGTTCTTGAACCATCATCCGTGAGGAGAAGAATTAGAAGACTACATCTCTTTAGATTTAGAGATATTTTAGAGATTGTAACCCCATCACTTGATATTGAATATAATATTTGTCGCTATATTTCTTGTCTTGATTATTATTTTTCAGGAGCAAAATTTAGTTGTTACAAATTTTGGCATGCCCAGTGGGACTATCTCTACCTCTCATCTCTTCTCAACTCTCAACATTCAAGATCACTAAAATGGCTTCAAAGAAGATCGACTCAAAAGTTGTTTGACTCCAAATTTTCTTCTAACGTTGAAAGTATCCTGAATGTTACTATAGGGAGTCTTGGCCAATCACCCGGAGCAAGGCGAGCATCTTGGGACAACAAGCACTCCAAGTGTCGTCTGCACCAATTCATGCTTTGAGATCTTCATCATCCGAAGAAGAAAGGTCCTCTGCTAGCAAGTCAGAGAGAGGAGATAATATTGCAGAAGTTGTGGAGAAAGCTCTTGCTCAACTTACTTTATACAATACTAAGAGTCAGCTTACCCAACCTGATGATGAAGTCTTAAGTGTTGGCTTTACGCCAATCTCGCCACATGACATGTTCCAAACTGAGTTCAATCTGTGGGAAGGTCTTGGTTATTCTTCATCATCTGCAATAATAATGGAGGCAATGATGACTAACACTTCGACAATGGAGGAGCAACTCGCAAACCTGACAAAGGCGATTGATGGGTTAACAAAGTATGCTCAAGATCAAGATGTTCGTATCGCAAAATTGACAGGCATAGTTGAAAGCATGATGGATGGAGAATCAAGTCATGCACCTAGAGAGCTTCCTGAAGTCCACGAGAAGGCTGATCCTCCAACAAAACAAGTGTCATCCGCCAGAGATCTTCATGTCTCCTCCGAAGGATCAATTCCTATAGTACAATTGAAGGAATTCATTATGGGAACTATCAAGGATAAGTATGAGGTCTCTTCAAAGTCTTCTCTCACGTACGCAAAGCCGTATACTGCAAGAATCGATAGCTTGAAGATGCCTGGCGGCTATCAACCTCCCAAATTTTAGCAGTTCGACGGCAAGGGAAATCCAAAGCAACATGTCGTGCACTTTGTTGAGACATGCAACAATGCAGGGACTTATGGAGATTACCTTGTCAAGTAGTTCGTCCGCTCACTAAAGGGGAATGCTTTTGATTGGTACATCGACCTCGAGGCTGGATCCATTGATAGTTGGGACCAATTGGAGCAAGAGTTTCTCAATTGCTTTTATAGCACAAGGCGTACTGTGAGCATGGTGGAACTTACGAACACTCGCCAACGAAAAGACGAACCAATTATTGACTTTATCAATCGATGGAGGAATGCAAGCCTTAACTGCAAAGATAGGCTAAGCGAAACTTCTGGCATAGAGATGTGCATCTAAGGAATGAATTGGGGACTTCGTTACATCTTACAAGGAATTAAACCCATGACATTTGAGGAACTTGCCACCCATGCTCATGATATGGAGTTGAGCATGGCTTCTGCAAGAAATAAAGGGCTTCCCATCTACGAACCTCGCAGGGGAAGGGATAAGTAAGAAGTCAAGAAATGGAGAAAGTTCGTACCCAAGAATGAAAGCAAAGAATCCATGAACGTCAATGCCTCTCCTTTGAAGTTTACTACCAAGGTGAGCAAGAAACAGAGTATGAAAACAACTTCCTCTCAAGATAATGCAAATCTAAAGTTGACTCTCAAAGAGATGCAAGAAAAGGAGTACCCATTTCTAGACTCTGATGTGCCTGCAATATTTGAAGAACTCCTCAAGTTAAAGCTTATTGAGCTGCTAGAGATGAAACAGCCAAATGAAGCTGGAAAAAGCAATGACCCGAATTATTGCAAATACCATCGGCTTATAGGTCACCCTCTTGAGAAGTGCTTTGTTTTCAAGGACAAAGTTATGGATTTGGCTCGTCAAAAGAAGATTGAGCTCGAGGACGAAAAGGCAAGCACAAACCATGTGTCCATTACCTTTGGCTCATTCGATCCGATTGAGATATGCACCTGTGAAGGGAATGAAGATGAAGAATTGTTGGAGGATGACAAAGTCTGAGTTGATCAACCTGATGAAGAAGGATGGACCCTGGTGACTCATCGAAGATGCCGTAAATTGAGTCTGCAAAAAGGATCAATGAAGCAACCTACGAGGAATAAGATGGTGAGAAGACTAAAGAAGCTACAAACGGTTAAGAACCCAAAGAAGGTGGAGATAGAGACACACCATCACCAAAAGCCACGCCACCTGGTGACTTTGGGAGAATTTTTGCCGAGTTGGTTTCGCATGAGGATTTCTGACGATGATGACAAGGCCTTATGTTGTAATACTGATAAAGAAGAAGAGGAAAAGAACGAAGTCAAGTCAACACTCTCTCCATCACTGTCTAATAGTCTTGTTGAGTCCTCTTTCTAAGAAGTAGATGTCTGTAATGCAAAAATCACCTTCATTGAAGACAATCTCCTACTTGGTGAGACACCACACAATCACCCTTTGTTTATGGTGGGTTATGTGCTCGAGAGAAGGATAAATAGAATCTTGATAGATGACGGACTGCAGTTAACATTCTTCCCATTCGCATAATAAAAGAACTCGGCATCTCAACTGAAGAACTTTCTGAAAGCCGGCTGATGATTCAAGGGTTCAATCAAGGAGGACAAAGGGCCATAGGAGCTATCAAGCTAGAAATCACCATGGGAGATACGCAATCAACTGCATGGATGCATGTGATTGATGCAAAGACTTCATACAATTTGTTGCTTGGAATTCCGTGGATACACGAGAACAAAGTTGTCCCATCAACCTACTACCAATGTTTGAAGTATAATAAAGATGGAGTTGAAAAGAAGATAGTTGATGATGATAAGCCATTCGCGGAAGCTGAGGCATACTTCGCTGATGCAAAATTCTACTTGAAGAACCGCATCGTGAAGGAAGCAAGAATTGGTGACATCACGAAGGCCAGAGGTGATAATATCGTGTCCAAAAGGGCTGAAGTAGCTTCTGATGAATATAAAGTTACAATAGAAGCATGCCAAGTTTCGAAAGCTCACAAAAAGAATGTTGCAATTGCAGGTAAGAAAATAGCTCATTTACTTCGTTACGTCCCAAAAGTGAAGAAAGATGAAGGAGAATCATCAAGCCTCCAAAAAGTTGCACTAAGAGAATTAACCCTTCCTATCAAGCAGATTGATACCATAAAGTTATCTTCAAAGCTACTGAAAAATTTTGTGGCCCCTAACATGCCTCAAAGGCACTCCCCACGAAACGCACAAATGAAGGTTTCGATCTGAATGCGTACAGGTTGTTCGCAAAGGTTGGATATGATCCCAATGAACCATCTAAGCTAGGGAAGCTCCCACCTGAAGCTATTAGGAAAGCAAACACAATGAAGAATAGGGAGCATGTGGTGAAGCAATCACGTGAGGGTCTAGGTAACAAACAACCCCCACCAGTTCGCATCTCTATTAGAAGAGCAAGTATTAACTATATCACGATGGAAGATAAACCCACTGATCCTAATAAAAGGCCTTCTATCTTTGATCGACTTGGAGAACCAACTATAAAAACTTCTGTAGTTGAGAGGTTGGGGCTATTAAAAAAGAAGAAGAACAAGTCCCAAAGAAATTATGAAAAAATAAGAAGACATTTTCCATCTAGAGTCCAAAGTATCTCCAAAACGTGTCAAAGCCTGATCCCTTCCAAAATGAGGTGACAAACAGGACTTTTGATTTCAGGTGGAGAGGTACTCAAAGTGAAGACTCGCACAGTGGTCCACACAAGAGAGCGTGACGAAGATGAAGAAAGTGTAGGATCCTCATATCATATTACTGCGAATGAGGAGCAATACACTTCATCCCTAAGGAAAGTTGACGAATATTTGGGAGATTCCTCTTGGTGTGGCCATATATCTTTTAACGATGGTGATCCTCAAGAAGACGAAGATGTCGAGGACGCTCCTGCGGAACTAGAAGAAGGAATTAAAATGACTGTTGATGCATTGAAAGAAGTCAACCTTGGCACTACAGAAGACTCCAGGCCCACCTATGTAAGTGCCCTATTAACCACAGATGAAGAAAGCACTTATGTGGAGCTACTCAAAGAATATAGAGATGTCTTTGCTTGGAGCTACAAAGAGATGCCTGGTTTAGATCCTAAAGTAGCAGTTCATCATCTCGCAGTCAAGAAAGGAGCTCGTCCTGTTAAGCAAGCCCAAAGATGCTACAGGCCAGAATTGATCCCATCAATCAAAGCCGAGGTCAATAAGCTCATCGAAGCTGGTTTAATTCGGGAGGTTAAATATCCTACATGGATTCAAGCATTGTTCTATGAAGAAGAAGAATGGCCAAATTCGAGTTTGTGTCGATTTTAGAGACCTCAATAATGCATGCCCTAAGGAAGAATTTCCGCTCCCCATTCCAGAGCTTATGATTGATGCTACCACCGGATACGAGGCAATGTCTTTCATAGATGGATCATCTGGATACAATCAAATACGTATGGCACAAAAAGATGAAGAGCTTACTACATTTCGCACTCCTAAAGGCATTTATTGCTATAAAGTAATGCCTTTTGGCTTGAAGAATGCTGGCGCCACATATCAAAGGGCAATACAGAATATCTTTGACGATATCCTCCACAAGAATGTGGAATGCTATGTGGATGATTTAGTGGTGAAATCAAGAAAGAGAGGAGACCACTTGCAAGACTTAAGAATGGTGTTCGAATGACTCCGGAGATATCAACTTAGAATGAACCCATTGAAATGTGCCTTTGGAGTTACTTCTGGAAAATTCCTTGGCTTCATTGTTCAACATTAAGGGATTGAGATATATCAAGCCAAAGTTGATGCAATCTTGAAGATGCCCGAGCCCAAAAATATACATGAACTAAAAAGTCTACAAGGAAAATTGGCGTACCTTAGAAGATTCATCTCAAATCTAGCAGGGAAGTGCCAACCTTTTAGCCGTCTCATGAAGAAGGGCATACCTTTTGAATGGGACCAAGCTTGTAGTAATACATTCCAAAACATCAAATCCTACTTGATGAAACCTCCAGTTCTGGCAGCCCCTATACCAGGAAAGCCATTGATTCTATATATTGCAGCCCAAGAAAGGTCAGTGGGAGACCTTTTTGCCCAAGAAAATGGTGAAAGTAAAGAAAATTCCCTCTACTACTTGAGTAGGATGATGACCCCAAATGATCTGAAGTATTCTCCGATCGAAAAGTTGTGTCTGGCATTGGTTTTCGCAATTCAAAAGCTGAAGCACGACTTTCAAGCTCATGTTGTCCGTCTCGTCTCAAGGGCGAACCCGATCAAGTTTGTTATGTCAAAACCCGTCCTCAATGATTGATTAGCAAGGTGGTATCTCCAATTTCAACAATTCAAGATTGTGTATATCCCACAAAAAGCTATGAAAGGACAAGCTTTGACAGATTTCTTGGCAGATCATCCAATTCCTAATGATTGGGAGTTGACTGATGAACTACCTGATGAGGGTACGATGGTCATCGAAGTGCAACCACCGTGGAAAATGTATTTTGATAGTGTCGCACATCATGAGGGAGCTGGTGCAGGTGTTGTGTTTGTCACTTCTCAAGGGGAAGTCTTGCCATATTCCTTCACCTTAACACAACATTGCACCAACAACGTTGCGGAATATCAAGCACTCATACTTGGGCTTGAGATGGCCATTGATATGAGACAACTCCAATTACATATTTTTGGAGACTTTGAGTTAGTGATCAATCAATTTCTAGGTAGCTACGAGGTCAAAAGGCCAGAATTACGTCGTTATTATGATTATGCACAGAAATTGATTGGATGGCTTGGCAATGTAACTCTTCAGCATGTTCGAAGGAAGGAAAATAAGAAGGTTGATGCCCTAGCTACTCTAGCTTTAACATTGACTCTGCCCGGCCAGAAACAAATCACTACCTGCCAAAAATGGATAGTATCGCCAAATGAGAATGAGGATGAAGAAAGCAAGCTCGAGCATTTGGTAGCCGCCGCTGAAGTTGTGAAGCTTGGTTGGCGACAAACCATGATCGACTACTTATGTTATAGGATACTTCTAGAATATCCAAGAAGAAAGACCGAAATTTGTCGACGTGCCCCTCGCTTCTTTTACTACAAAGACACTTTGTATCGAAGATCATTTGAGGAGTTCTCTTGCGTTGTTTAGGGGAAGATGAAGCAACTCAAGCTATGCAAGAGGCACACTCTGAAGTTTGTGTATCACATCAATCTGGGCCGAAGCTCCACTTCCACATAAAGAGGATGGGTTACTACTGGCCGACAATGGTGAAAGATTGCTTAGATTATGCTCGAAGATGCAAGGCTTTCTAGTTTCACGCAAATTTTATACACCAACCACCTAAAATGTTACATCTTACTGTTGCATCTTGGCCATTTGACATTTGGGGATTAGATATTGTTGGACCACTTCCTAAATCTTCTGGAGGACATCTATACATCTTCGCCGCAACTGATTATTTCTCAAAATGGGTCGAGGTCGTCGCTCTCAAGGAAGTGAAGAAAGAGAATGTGGCAAACTTCATTCGAGTGAACATCATATATCATTTCGGTATTCCTAGTTATATAATAACATATAATGGCAAACCATTCGATAACAAATTGATGACCAAGATTTGTGAGTTTTTTGGCTTCAAGCAACGTAATTCATCAATGTATTATGCTGCTGCAAATGGACTAGCTGAAGCATTTAACAAGACACTTTGCAACTTGTTAAAGAAGGTCGTCTCCAAGTCTAAAAGAGATTGGCATGACAGAATGGAAGAAGCTTTGTGGGCATATCATATGACTCATCGCACACCGACATAAGCAACTCCTTATTCTCTTATTTATGGAGTTGAAGCAGTTCTTCCTCTTGAGCGTCAAATACCATCCTTGCGACTCGCTGTCTAAGAAGGTCTTACTGAAGAATAAAACGCTCATCTGCGCCTTGAAGAACTTGAGTCCCTTGATGAAAAAAGGCTAGAAGCTTAACAAAGTCTTGAATGTTATCAAGCTCGTCTTTCTCGTGCTTTCAACAAAAAGGTTCGCTTGAGGTCCTTCCAAGTTGGCGATCATGTTCTTTCATTAAGGAGACCTATTATCACCTCTCGCAAATCTGGGGGCAAATTCACTTGAAAGTGGGATGGTCCATATGTTGTGCAAGAAGCCTACTCAAGTGGAGCTTACAAGTTAGTTGATGCAGATGGCATGAGAATTGGACCTATCAACGGGAAATTTTTGAAGAGGTATTATCCTTGAAGAATAAACGCTCCTCAAGGCACGAGCCTAAACTGCAAGTCATGAAGCTCCTTAATGCACGAGCCTAAAATGCATGCTGCTACGCTCCTCGGCGCACGAGCCTAAACTACAAGTCATGAAGCTCCTTAATGCACGAGCCTAAAATGCATGCTACTACGCTCCTTGACATAAGAATCTAAACTACATATTGCAATGCTCCTGACCCGCATGAGCCTAAACTACAAACAACACCCAAAACAAAAGAGTCTGCTAGGTTGAAAACCTCGAAAGAGGCGGCCTAGGCAAAAGTTAGGACACCAAAAAAACTCACCAGGGTCCATCATTCTTCATCAGGTTGAGCAACTCGGACTTTGTCATCCTCCAATAATTCTTCATCTTATTATACATAGGTGGGCCTGGAGTCTTCTGTAGTGCCAAGCAATTTTCGAGATGGTATCTCCAATTTCAACAATTCGAGATGGTATAAACAAGTAATTTTTTGATACTTCATATACAACGTAAACACGAGTTTGTCCGTGATAGAATAGTCCCTTTCCTTCTGAAATCATCTATAAGATCGTACAACTTGAATAGGTTTTCTTCTGAATTTAGCTACTACATAATATATTTTCCTTACTCGTTATTTCCTCTTATGAATTGGAGAGACTCCAAATTGGCCAGCATTAATAACTTGACTATTACAAACATAGAAAATTTTACTGTCCAGTGGCATCAAATATAGAAAATTTTAAAGCTTTTCCCACTTTCCCGTAACAACACTTGGGCTGACAATAATTTTCCTTTCCTACTTTGATTTCCTAGTTTCAAACCTATTCATGTACAAATCGGACATGATATTTCCTTATTTGCACATGTTAGTAGCTTGAACACCAAGAATTTCCTTAATTTCTTCCTTGCTAGTTCCTATAAATTGGCCACTTTTTCCTTGATCATCTTCTTGTGTCAACTCCTTAGCTGAGGGGATAACTTCGTCATAGAATGACCCATGCATCGGAAGGCCTCTGATTACTCGCAAGTCCCACAAAGAGATGGAGAGTTCACCTATAGAGGTAGAAATTGTGTTGGTAGATAGACGCCAAAACTCACAAAAGGCACGAAGGACATTCTCATTGTAGTCATATGTGAACAACGAAGCAAAGATGGCGTCATAGACCTTGATGCCATCTAGAGTCAACTTGTTGCGGGCAAGAACATCTTCTACCCACTCCCAATATTTGGACGTATAGCGAACTTCACCAAATCCAGAAGGAGGAACACTCTAAGTGACGAGACGTCCATCGTAATCACGATGAGGAGGACTAGCAGACGCTACCTTTTGATGGGTGGAGGACTTCAAAAGTAGGACCTTCATGTTGGTTTCTTTGCCCGAAAATCTATCCAATGCATACTTCGTCTCTCTAGTCGACCATTCTGCAAGATCAAGGGAGGCGTCAAGCGGCTTTCTAGCCCAGCGGGAAAGCACCTATCACCGGAGGATGAACTTTTAAAGTTAGAACTTGGGCGTGCGGATTCTGCTTGTCGCTAATAATCTCAAGTTGTGGGTATGATGTATCATGGTTGATGAAACGCATCCTTGCTAATGGAATTCACAGCCCTATGTGCTGCTTCGAGAGTCTGCGAAAAAAAAGAGGAAGAATCTATGAAAAAACAGCAAGACAGAATGGGGCAGCATGCCATAATATATTGCCTAAATTCGAGAAAACATCTAGGAATATATCAGCATATTCTGATTATGATTTTTACTATGTCGTAGCTCCGGAAGTCTAGTTTTCATCGCCGTAAACCGCTCGTGATTCGATACTCCTATACCAAGATATGATTTTTTTTTGGTTAAGACGCGCAAAGCTGAAATGTCGAGCATGACAGAACTTGAACTAAGTTTAGGAAGCTCACCTGGGATGATACAATGCGAATCTAAATTTAAATTTTTGATATGTTGCAGTACTCTGAGTCTAGTTTCTGTAGCCACAAACCACTTGTGATTTCGGCATTCCTACACCAAGATATGATTTTTTTGGTTAAGACGCGCAAAACTGAAATTCCTGGCAGCAGCTAAAAAATGTTAGGAGAATCGAGCAACGGGATTGCGTTGCCAACTATTGAAGAGTACCTTTAAAACCAACCAAAAAGTAGTACGGTTGCTTTCATCAAAGAGCGGAGGACTACTACTATGTTAACGATACAAGGAGAAAGTGGCCAATTTATAGGAACCAACAAGGAAGAAATTAAGGAAATTCTTAGTGTTCAAGCTACTAACATGTGCAAATAAGGAAATATCATGTTCGATTGTACATGAATAGGTTTGAAACTAGGAAATCAAAGTAGGAAAGGAAAATTATTGTCAGCCCAAGTGTTGTTACGGGAAAGTGGGAATAACTTTAAAATTTTCTATATTTGATGCCACTGGATAATAAAATTTTCTATGTTTGTGATAGTCAAGTTATTAATGCTGGCCAATTTGAAGTCTCTCCAATTCATAGGAGGAAATAACGTGTAAGGAAAATATATTATATAGCAGCTAAATTCAGAAGAAAACCAATTCAAGTTGTACGATCTTATAGATGATTTCAGAAGGAATGGGACTATTCTATCACGAACAAACTCGTGTTTACGTTGTATATGAAGTATCAGAAAATTTCTTGTTTATACCATCTATGAATTCTGTTAGCTCGAATTCTTTTGGTTCTCTGCTGTAATATGATCTCAGATGAAGAGAAGGGTTTCAGTATCAGATTGATAAAGTTGTTTGAAAGTTGTGATGTCACCTAAATATAGTTATGTGATAAGTTTCCTGAAAAAATGTAGCAACTAAATTGGAACTATGTTGTGAGAATTTTATTTGAGTAAATGTTCCAAGCGCATCAAAGGAAAGCATATCTCTTGAATCAGAATTCAAGTGAACAATCCAAAGGTCACACTAAACAATGTCCGTTGGCTCCACAACGGTTACTTCAAATCATGTCTTCAAGTTACGATAAGCCTACACCTCGACAAGCTTTGAAGCAGGAGACATTTGTAGACAATTAAAATTTTATTAAACTTTAATCCACAAGTAATTTGGATTTAAAATATATTAAATACATATTAGTCCAAATGATATTATGGGCTAGTATAATCGGGTTGATTATTTAAATCTAAAATTGATTTAAATAAAAGTCCAATGTATTATTGGGCTAGCTCGTCAGTTGGTCTTCTATCAAATGGACCGGCCCATAAGCCTCAAGCTCAATGATCAACTAGGGTTTACTCCACCCCACACCTATATAAAGGGGTCAAGGGAGAAGGCTAAGGGACAAGCAAGTAAGCAGAAGGAAAGGCCGAAGAAGCTCTGAAAAATAGCATCAAAGTCTCCATTCATATCTGCAATCATCGTCTGTGGTCAAATTTCAAATGCGAACTCAAGTCATAGGCGGACGGCTTCAAATCTTCCGTTCGTGATAAATCAATACCAAATCCTGGTTCGTGACGACCTTCAAATTGTTCGTGACGTACTACAAATCTGAAATCCGTCAAGTTCAAGATCAAGCTTTCAAGCTCTTGAACCATCATCCGTGAGGAGAAGAATCAAAGGACTATATCTCTTTAGATTTAGAGATATTTTAGAGATTGTAACCTCGTCACTTGAAATTGAATATAATATTTGTCGCTATATTTCTTGTCTTGATTATTATTTTTCAGGAGCAAAATTTAGTTGTTACAACTATAAATTATACTAAATGAATTTGAATAAAATAGGATGAATAATCATAATTTTGAGATAGAGGTATAATTATCTCTTGATTAATTTAGTGGGTATTCCTTTTGTTCCAGTTTATATGAACCTATTTCCTTTTTGATCCGTTTAAAAAAGAATAATTGTTTCTAAATTTGAAAATAATTTAATTTAAACTTTGAATTCTATCCAAATAATTCACATAAATTGAAACATGGAGAGTAATAAGATTTTTGTTGTAGAGAAAAATGGAAATGAAAAAGAAGAAGGTTAGAATGGGAAAAGGGGGAAGGAATAAATAAAGATGGTATGAGAATTGATTAGAAAGGTGGAAAAGTTGCGTACACGGTCAATACTACTCATGATCAAAGGGGCCCTAGCTGACGTGTTAATAAAGGAGTGGGTAATAAGTATCGCACACGAACAACAAAGAAAACTCAAAATAAGAGAGATTTTTCATTTCATTTCATTTTCAGATGGATGAATAGATATAGATACAGAAGAGAGAGAGAGAGAGGTGGTGGGTGTGAATATGGTATAGGGCCTGAGACCCCTGAAAGGGCATGGAAGTGCTGGCCATGCTGAGGCAACTCATTGGACAAGTTAAACAACTCTTACAACAACAAAATACACACTCTCCTTCTTCTTCCTCCTCCTCTTCTTCTTCTTCTAACTTCTCTTTTCCTCTTCAATCGCCACCGCTTTTACACCTCCCAAGGTTTGATTTTTCTCTTTCTTTCCTTATTTCCCCTCATGGGTTTTCTGTTAATCTTTAATTTTTATGTGTACTTTGGTCGATCTGTATGATTAAATGCTGTTTGATATTGAATTCCCACTTTGTGAAATGTTCTTATTCCTTGCTTTCTTTGTGCTTTTGGTTTTAAAGGTGTCAACTTTATGATATTTCTGAGGGCTTGGTTTTTTTTGTTGCCTTTGCTGCGGTGATCAAATTGGGGAAATTGCATTGTTTTTTTAGTGTGGTGTTTTCATGTTTGGTAGTTCTTGACATACTCAAATTGCTCTTATTAGTGTTCCTTAGCGCTACCTAACTGTCAAATTAGTAAACTTTAGGTCTTACAGCTTGGTCTTGCTTTTCTTTAGTGAATAAAAATATGTCACAGGTCTTTTTAAAATTCTGTTTTATTCACAATGGTGGTGCCTGGTTCAGCTTGCGCACACCTTTGCTATTCCACCGGTTACTTGTTAACTCCTGCCAATACAGTTACTGGGTAACTCTTGTCTTAGTTATTGTTAAAATTTTAAGGGCTAATATATTCTGATCACCTGCAACTATGATAAGCTCACAATCCCAATGCTAGAGCCGTTATACATAAATCGAGCTCATGTTCTCTTGGTTGTAGAATGATCACTTCAAAAGTAGTTTGTTCCTAGTCAGCAATGGTACAGTAGTTGTCCTAATTGTCTAGTGATTCATATGTTGTTTCATTTGTGGTATTGTGCACTGTATGGTATTGGGTAAATACTCAATGACATTCTTTCAGAATGAATGTTTGAATTTTCAAGAGGGATTTAAAGAAATCTAGCCAGCCAGCCTTAGCTTGTACTATCGAGACAGCTGGTTGTTGGCAGCCACTGGGTGAAGCCAATGGTCTTTTAGACAAATTATAGGTAGTCGGTATCTGAAATGCAAACATATGGAAACAATACTCACTAGGCTAGGAACTTGGTTCAACTGTCCTTTAGGGATTGTTTTGCCATCCCCCACTAGGGAAAGAGCATATATACTGTCTTGTAGTATTTCTGAAATGCACAAACCCCGAGCTCTTTGTTTTGCAGCATTATAAGTTCGCGAACTTCTTTTCTGAGTTTAAAGTTTATCTTTCTAAGTAAGAGCCTTTGCAATTTAGCCAACAAAATAAAATTTTGATATACTCTAGTAGAGTCTTTGTCTTTTGGAGAACAGAATTTTTTAACACCTTCAAAGACTAGTAAACGAGATACTAGTTTCTCTGTTGGGATTGAGTGCTATTTTTAAATTATAATGATTTAAAACCTGTTTGGTAGTCTAAAACTTTCCTTTCGTTTGTGAAACACAATGCCAACCTACTTCTAACAAAGTACCCTCATGTAATGGAATTATCAAAAGATGCTTTATACAGCATAATTTTCATCCATTTTGAAGTCTTTTATGGTTCTACAATTTGAGCATGTTGCATTCTCATTGCAAAGTACAGTCTTATGGAATACATGGAAATCAAAGCTTTTGTCTTCTTTGTCATTATTTTTATTTAAACATAAGCAGATGAAGGCCAAAGTTTCCTCAAAACAATAGTGAGTATTAGTTGAATCGAAGTTGAAACTCATTTTCAATTGGAAGATAGAATCTTTTAGAAAGCAAAAGTAGTGGAGCTTACATCAGGATGATGCTTCTCTTGTTAGCCAGAGATGGTTGCCTGCTTGCATGGCCTCAATGCTATGGTTATGGTTTCTAGCATTTCTTTTTTCTTTTCTTGATAATGGTGGTGTCCAGGTCAGCTTACGCGTACCTCGCTATTCCATCGGGTACCTGGTCTTTTGTCTTTTCCACCCGAACAGGTATAAGTAACTCTACCCACCGAAGCTTAGGAAGACTTGAAGAATCACCTAGCATATTTTGTCTTTGCTAGTATTTGAATCGTGGTGCCCCATGGTTATCACCCTTTTCATTGACCACTGGGCCACATACTTGATTACATGTTTCTAACATCTTTGTGACTGAATTATGTGCATTTGAACACGTTTTCTTCCCCTTTAAGTAACATCATCTGGTGTGGGCTAGAATAACCGGAATCATTTGAAAGTCACAGTGTTTACATATAACATATTTGCTAGCTACTTTGTGTATTGGTGAGTGAATTAAGTAGAATATTCACATGTTAAGACTGTCTATCGGAAACAGCTTTCTGTATTAACAAGGTAGGCGTAAGGTCTGCGTACACGTTACCCTCCCTAGACCCCACCTGTGGGATTACACTGGGTTTGTTGTTATTGTTGTTGTTGTTGTTATTCACATGTTAAGACTAGCAGCTATGTTCTAGAGATATGTAGAAGAATAATTAGGGAATGCTATTTCTGGATATTTCCAAGTTATTAGGTATGCTAATTCTTACTTTCAGAATAAAAGGTTTATTGGCGCTTCCACTCTGTAACGACTTAGGTTGACGATACTGGTTACACAGTTCTGGCTAAAATGCATTAATTTGTGCATTTGGTCAAACTTGACCATAAAAGTGAAACATGTGAAAAACAAATCAGAATGTTTTGGAAAATTATGGAACATGAAAAAAAACCTCCATGTTTAATGTTCTCTTAGACATGATGGTAATCATATGAATTAAATGAGCTAGTAAAAATAGAACTTTGTAAGTTAAGCATGTTTGTAAAATCAAACTTTCTCGCTAGCTTTGCCAAGGTTGAGGTGCAGAACCTATATTTACCTAATCTGGAATCTTCTCAAATGCCTTAGCCTTTTAGATAGAGCTGATGCAGTGCTATGGTATCCGTTACGGGGTCATTTTGCTGAGTTCCTTTGATATGGTTCTCTGAAGCTTCTTAGAATACTATATTTTTTTACTTGTTAGGTTTGGGTAGGTCAGTTCACCTGGAGGATCGAGCTCCCAATTCAAACTTTTTTCTTGAATACTCCATGAGTAAACAATAAAACTTGTATCTAAATCCATGGTTATACCCAATTTTGGATTCGACTATTAAGGGTCAACTTGCGGTGGCGTTCAGTCCTTTTTCAGTTTCTCATATTTATATGATTTCATTGATTCACTGCATAATTTGAAACTTTTTACCTTGGAAGAAAATATGTGAATGAACCAGGTTTGTATCTGTGCAGGTGTTATGTTCTGAATCTTGATGACAGTTCTGCTGAAGACANAGACGGTTGCTACAATATCATTATGACTGCTGGAAAATCTGAAAATCTCAAGATGTTGGAACCTGGCAAGCCTCCACCAAAAAAGAAAGCTCGGAAGGAGAGGAATCGAGGAAAAGTGACTGGAACTTCATGCTCCATAGAGAATTTGGATCCGCAAATATGGAAAGAATTTCCTGAAGACTTATTTGAAGCTGTTATTGCAAGACTACCAATTGCCACTTTTTTCCGCTTCAGATCTGTCTGCCGCAAATGGAACTCAATGCTGATGTCCCAAAGTTTTTCTGAACAGTGCACCCAAGTTCCTCAACCACAACCGTGGTTCTACACCATTACTCATGAAAATGTGAATACTGGAGCCATGTACGACCCTACGTTGAAGAAATGGCACCATCCTACTATACCTGCACTGCCGACCAAGTTGATAGTCTTGCCAGTTGCTTCTGCAGGAGGTCTTGTCTGTTTCCTTGATATTGGACATAGGAGCTTCTACGTATGCAACCCTCTTACTAGGTCCTTTAAAGAGTTACCAGCCAGATCTGTTAAGGTGTGGTCTCGTGTGGCAGTAGGGATGACATTGAGTGGGAAATCAGCTTACAGTATCCTTTGGGTTGGTTGTGATGGTGAATTTGAAGTTTACGACTCCAGAAAGAACTCTTGGACTCGTCCAGGATCTATGTCCTCAAATGTTAAGCTTCCTATGGCACTCAACTTCAAGTCGCAGACAGTCACCATCGGTAATAAATTTTACTTTATGCGCTCAGAGCCTGATGGAATCGTGTCCTATGACATGGTTACTGGGATCTGGAAGCAGTTCATTATCCCTGCACCCCTACATCTGAGTGATCATACACTAGCAGAATGTGGGGGCCGCATAATGCTTGTCGGGCTGCTGACAAAGAATGCAGCCACTTGCGTGTGCATATGGGAACTGCAAAAGATGACTCTTTTGTGGAAGGAGGTTGACAGAATGCCAAATATATGGTGCTTGGAGTTTTATGGAAAGCACGTTCGGATGACTTGCTTGGGTAACAAAGGTTTGCTCATGCTATCTTTAAGATCAAGACAAATGAACCGGCTAGTAACGTATGATTTCTCAACCGGAGAATGGATGAAGGTCCCCGGTTGCGTGTTGCCCCGTGGGAGAAAGAGGCAATGGATCGCGTGCGGGACTGCTTTTCACCCCCGTCTTACAGCTTTGGCTTAACTTGGGATGCCCAGTAAATTTCTAGTCACAGCAGAGTGCGATTTATTATATCATGTGGTTTTAGCTTTTCCCATCATAATCTGCAGCCTAGTGTTCTCTTTGCTGAATTTATTACCACTCTCTTGTATAAACATCTAGTTGTTAAGCTTTTCATTCCAGAGGACTAATCTACGACTACTTATTATTACATTAAAACGTACAACCTCTCAGAATTTGAGAATTTGTTGTGTTTATGTATCGGAAAATTTGTTTCTACCTTTTCTATTGTGGATCATGGCATTTTACGTGTTGGGACTTTCAGATAGAATGGCGTTTTAACTTAATTTTGGTTAAATTTACTTGTGGTGATTTGCCTACTGTGCCTGTGAGTTCCAAAACGAGGAATTACAAGTATTGCACTTGTTTGTGATTGTTCCAAAAGATTTTGTAAAGCAAGGATAGTTAGTGTGTGAGGTCTTGTAGATGTTTACTGGCATCACATGCACAAGTGCTCTCTGAATTGTGCATTACTGTTACCCATTACATATATACAAGTGTTCTCTGAACTAACACGGCTATACCTGCTATTCAATAATATTAGGAAAATTCTTCCATTTGGTAATATATGTTTCCCAGCATAAAGGATTTTATAATAATGGTTTATACTAGAAGTGAAAGGATATTTAAACCTCTGCAAGAACGCAATGGACACAAATATATCAACACACGAGACAGGAGAAAATTTATACTTCTCCGAGTATCTCACAAGTTAAAAACAGTTCTATTGAAGTTTCTCTTCAATTTCTACATTGGGCTAAACTTTGAGAAAAACACTACTACAACAAGCAGGCAAAGCCTATAACACCACCACTTTTAACTTCCATGCTTAAGCCATGCCCCCGCTGGTTGCGGTCCTTATTATCTGGAACAGAGCTGCAATGGGAGAAAAACGATTAATTCAACCAAAAAGAGAACAAACGAAAACAAAAGAAATATGCATGTAGTAACCTAAGTCACATGAAGATACGAAGATCTTACATGAGCCAATGACAACAAAGACAAAGAAACCAAGCAATATAGGGCCAACAGGATACTGGTTTCCCTTTTTTGCGGTAGTTTCAGGAACAGCTCCTCGCTTGGTAATGTTTTTCTCAAACCTCTCAATCTTCCTGTCAGCAAGACGCCTCGATGTCGTCTGATCATATGCAGCAAAACAGAGGAATGATTCAGAACAAAATCTTGTTCAAACTACTAGTATATCTTTTTGAAAAGAAAGCATAGCCAGCTTTCAACAAGCAACCAAGTCTCTCGTCGGACAGGATAAGCATCAAGCACTCTAGCAAGGAGCTCTAGTATTCAACATTCATATTACAAATATCCAATAACTTACACCTCCCCTCTGGTTTAGGGGTTTAGCAGAGGTAAGCCGCCTCTCTTTTGTCGTGAAATATCTATTACCTCCCTTTGAGCCTAAATCAATGCTGTCCATTTTAAAGGTTATCTGATCAAAATACCATCCTTTTCTTACGTTATTCACAGTGTCAATTTTGAGATGAAACTTAGAGCAAAGAATATGAGAACAAAAAAATAATAACTTAACAATTCGCAACCTTCTCCAATAGATAGAGGTTGCCATACTGGATTCAAGGGTCAAGCTGACACAGTTGAAGATTGGAGAACTGCTCCCTCTTTATCATTTGATGGAAGAATTGGAAATCTTTTGATAAAAATGTTTTGAAAAAGATTTTTCTCCACACCAAACACACACACACACACACACACTATATATATATATATATTTTATATGAGCCTAATGCGGATTCAACTATTTAAACAACGGAAACACTAAACAGCCTAAACCATCATTAGAGCATCTATACCAAGTCATGGAATTACCAAAAACCAAGCTCCTAGGCTCCTGGAAAAGTAGAGCATGAAAGCAATGCAAGGAATACATAGGATTGCCAATTGGGAGAAGCACTTTCAAAAGAATCCAAAGCAAACATACTATCAATTCTACGACAAAAAAAAAAGGGCAGCCCGGTGCACTAAGATCCCGCTATGCGCAGGGTCCGGAGAAGGGCGGACCACAAGGGTCTATTGTACGTAGCCTTACCCTGCATTTCTGCAAGAGGCTGTTTCCACGGCTTGAACAATTCTACGCCAAAAAGCTAAATAAAATTGGAAAGTCCAAGCACTAAAGGTCTTTTGCGCATTAAGTAGGTAAGATACCCAAGTTTACCAATTGCATAGATAACAAGAAAAGATCTACGCTCAAAAGACACCTATCTTTTCCCTTTCGATTAATCATTGGATTTTGTCCCAAAAAAAAAACAATTGATTTCATATAACTTACTTAAGATAACTCCACCCATTACTTTCAAGGTAAATTATGTACTACTTACTTTCAACAACAAAAGAGAGAGATCTATTTACAAAAAAATTGTTCTGGCTAACAGATCAACAAAATACTCAAAAGATGAATTGAATATCAATCATCTGGCAATGGATCACAACAATTAAACAAATATGAGCCACAAGCAATGCCATTGTTACCAAAACCCAGAAAAAAAAAATTAATCATGAAAGGAAAAGACGAAAATATAAGAAGTTATTGAACTGAGACGAAATCAATCATCAGATCAATAATGTGGCCGCCTTGAATTTCAAATCTTAATTAAACTAAGAAACCAGAAATAATAAATAAAAATAATCAAGAGACTAGGATTTAAATTATATGGGTTCAACATTAAAGTTTATAGCATTGAACCCATTATATTTATAAAATTATGCGTTCATATCTACTATTTGTTTCAATTTTAGTTAATTTTTACGCATAGGAATCCACCCTGGGAATATCCAGGCAGGTACAAAAAGGAAAAAAAAACAGCAATTAATCCATCGTAACTTCACATTTCAAGATCTAAAACAAGAAAAGAAAAGACAAAAAAAGTTTCGAGTTTATTGAATTAAAGTGAAATCAATGATCAGACAGATCACGGGATGACGGATCACAACAATTAGTAATCCAAATAATAAGCTTGGAGCAACGACATTGACTCAAAAATTCATAAAAACAAAATTTAAAAACAGATTTAAGTTTGCGTATTACCATAGTTGAAGCAAAATCCGGTGGCCGCTGATAGATGAGAACACGAAAAATTCAGCTAAGGGTTTCTTCTTCCACCTTTTCTCTGCCCCAATTTATTTTGACTTTTTATTCATTGAATTTCTAACTGCTTTTGAAAGATTTTATTTATAGCCGGGGAAGAAGGCAGGAGCCCATGAAAAACGCGTCACACTCCTTCCATTAATTGGACAAATGGGTCATAAACCACGTATCTTTGCTTAGCTGTCCATATTTGATTGGGTAAGTTGAACACGTCGGAATCCTTGGGCCTGGGACTATAAAAAGAATGAGGTTTTGACACAGTTACCCACAAAAACAAAACTATTTATCCATGTCTATTTATTTATTTTTCTACCCATAAACTAATTATATTTACTACCCATAATAGATTTTGTGGGGAATATTTTCTTTATTCTCCAATTCTTTTTTATTTTTATGCTTCTTTTTTTTTCTTTTCTCCTTTTCTTTTTTCTCGTTTTCTTCTTATTTTTTTTCTTTTTTCCTTTTCTAATTTCATTTAACTTCTTTCTTTTTATATTCTTTTTTATTCATAATCTAATTTTATTTACTATTTTCACTATTTTTTATTATTCTTTTTTTATATTATTATTAAAGAAAAATCAAATTGTGTACCAATTAAATATAGCTAATACAACTAAAAAAATATTAACTAACATATGATACCAGTATAATATATAGCTATACCAACAGGGTACAGAATTGTACGCAAAAGGTTAAAAAAAATTTAATTCAATTATTAAACTGAAATAATATCAGTTGTCAATAAAAATTTCAAAAAATTCTAAAAGGATCTAATTGCAAGAGTATACCGTTACATTATATAGCATACTATAATATTATTATTTTTTTGTATTTTCAATTTGCCCCTCACGCTGGGTAAAAGCTTAAAGCAAATTAAAAGGGAAAAGACAAGTGAATTTACGGGTAATAAGTATACTATTATAGTATTTTGTATACTATTATAGCATATTGTTACAGTATATTTCATATTATTACAGTATACTATAACAATTATATTGTATACTATAATAGTATACTGTTGCAGTATAACTATATACTCCTATAGTATACAATATACTGTAGCAGTATACTGTTAGGTAACTGTGTTCTTCTTCGATTATTACAATATAACATTGCAGTGTATTGTAAACTATAATAGTATATTGTTGCAGTATAGCTATATACTCATACAACATATTGTATACCGTAGCGGTATACTGTAGTTGTGTTCTTCTTCGATTTTCAAATGAAAATTTCGATCTCAATCACCTCAAATCAGCTCCAAATGCTATCAAATTTCAGTATGAACTTCCAGAAGGTACTATAAGCAATATTTAACAGCACCCACTTTGAATCAAACAAGAAATCTTCAAAAATAAAATTGAGCTTCAAGCCCAACAATGGTGAATATTCAAATACACATAAAAATTTAGATCTGGGAAGCTTACTCGAAGATACTATAAGAAATATTTTATAGCACCACATTGAATCAAACAATAAATCTTTAAAATAATAGCACCACTTCAACAATTAATGTGTACTCCATTAGAAAATCGAGCGAGAGAAAACAATATCCAAATTGTTAAGATTCTATTGAAACTAAAACTAAATTAAGGTTGAATAAGAACGAATATTACGTGTTGCTGATGTGACTAGCTAGTGGCGACTACAGTAACAATAAATAAGAAGAAATATAAAAGAGATGGAGAATTGGAGGAAGGTAAAATGAGGAAGAAGAGGAACATAATAAAGGCGGGTAAATAGTTTGGGGATCATCGGTAGGATTAGTAAATAGTTTGGGCCTGGTAATTAAAGGATAAATAGTTTGAAATTAATGGGTATAAAGTGAGATTTTCTCTTGAAGAATTCGTAAAAATAGCACGGGTTAACCAGTTTTCGGACTGGTCATTCAAAAATAGCCAGCGTTTACAAAGTCATTAAAAAATAGCCACTATTTTGTTGCAATACGAATAGTTCCAGCATAATATACTGGAGATCGGTGCACCTGTGTATGAACTTCCAGCATATTATGCTGGAACTCCAAAACGCGGAAAGTTCCAGTATAATAAACCGGTCCAGCATAATATACTGGAGATCGGTGCACCTGTGTATGAACTTCCAGCATATTATGCTGGAACTCCAAAACGCGGAAAGTTCCAGTATAATATACTAGAGAATGGAGCACCGGTGCTCCAATCTCCAGTATATTATGCTGGACCGGTTTATTATACTGGAACTCCAGTATATTATACTGGAGCATTTTTCCGGATTTTGAATAGTATTTTCGTTCAGATTTATATTTACATGAAAAATGGCTAAATTTTGATTACTTTTAAAACTGTGGCTAATTGAATGATCACTTGTAAATCTGGCTATTTTTGAATTTCTCCCGAAGAATTCTCCCAAAGCCCATTCACAATAAGCCCCGTACTTAAAAACCAAAATAATTACCCTTGTTCTACCCATACAAAATAATTACGCGATCAAACCGATATACTATTTCAGTATATATGTATACTATTATAGTATACTATTGCAGTATAGCTATATACTCTATTATTGTGTACTCTTACAATATATTATGATACAATAGCAGTATATTATAGGTTAACTATATTTTTATTTAAATTCCAGCTGAAAAATTGCACATTATACTGTTTGGATATATGTATACTACACTCTTATGGAATACTTTGATACCGTAGTAGTATACTATTTAGTAAATGTGTCTTATTCAAGTTTCAGTTGAAATAATGCATATAATTGCAATATATCATTTCGTTATTTTTTTTCTTTTATAAATCTTTTTTTGGTCACTAGATTGTGTATCATATAATAAGTCCTAGTAATAATAGTCCTCAAAGTTAGTTAATCTCAATATGTGGTTGCAAAGTAATCCTATTCACGTAATTCATTAATGAGACGTTTTGGATCGGGGGGGATGTTGATCTATGAATGCAGAAAAAAAAATACAAAGAAGCTCTTGAAGCCTTCAAACAAAAGCACATATGATGAAGAGATGAATAACGTGCAATGTAGGAAAATACATGAGAGAGAAAACACAAAAAGGTAGAAAGTAATTAGTCGGCCAGATTCAATATTTATTTTTTCTAGCTGATTCACATAGACACGGGCAGAGCTAGAGAACGAGTTAGGGGTTCGGCCGAACCCAGTAGCTTCGATTCAAACCTTGTATTTATTTTATGAAATTCATTAAACATGTATAGATTATTAATTTAGAACCCGATAACTTAAAAATAATTGGAATCCCGAACCCATAAGCTTCAAANATATATATTCGCTAGCTATATTTGATTTAAGATATTAGATGGACAACCTTTTGGGTTAATTCTTCAAGTATGTCACGGTAAATAGGAAAAAATAGGAGAGTGAAAACACAAAATAATTGAAAGTAATTTATGGGTAAAAGGAAAAGTCAGGGAAAAGTCATGGTAATATTTTGGACCACATAAATGTATTCCCTAATAAGTTTCGAGTGGGTAATTAGTTTGGCCTAAACGGGCATTTTGTATAGATTTCCCTTAGATCAATTTTTTTTTGAGCAAATAGGAAATAGATATATTAATAACTAAGGAACATCTAGTACATGGTCGACATGACTTGCATCTCGGAGGATGCATTTGTTTCCTAAGCTTGCTAGCCTATTACAAGCTTCATCACATAGAAGTTTTTCGTGACAAGTAGATTCAAGTTTGTCACTTTCAACAAAATCCGTTACATCAAAAGGTGGTACGACAAGAACTTTTTTAGCGGACTTCACTGCTTTACTTCTTCCTGCCAATCCCTGAGCTTGGCTATCCCTTTCTAGGACCCCTTTTGCTAGCTGGTGGGCAATCCTATTCCCCTGCTTGAAAGTGTGCTGGAGAGTAACCCTCTGTTGGTGCATTAAGGACCTACAATCATTAACAGTTTTATTAAATAATTTATTACCATTTTGTATTGTCTGGATAGCCTCTGAGCAGTCTATCTCAATCTCAAGTGGGAAGAGATTCCATTCCTTTGTTGTTCTTAGCCCTTCTCGTAGTGCTTTTAATTCAGCTGCTAGAGAGCCATTTGCATGTGCTAGTTTTGCAAAACCAACCACCCAGCTACCTATTGCATTTCTAAGAACACCGCCTAAACCACAATTTTTGTTATAGCTATGAAAACTGGCATCCACATTCAGTTTGTACCACCCCCAAGGAGGTTTGAACCAGTCGATTTTTATAAGGGATTTGGGAGGATTAATAGAAGATTTTTCCGTGAAAAGTTTAAACTCCACTGCTTTTTGCATGATTTGGGAACCTCTTATTTGGTTGGCAGTGTTGTTGATGTTATTACTATTTCTATTAATCCAGATATGCCAGATGATGAAGGGAAAGAAGTTATTCCAGTTTATAAAGTTATGGTTTATAGGAATATTGAAGTCCCTTATTTGGAGAAGCCAGTGCTTCCCACTTTTGTTGATAGGGTAGGTCCCTTGCAAGTTGCTCCAGAGATTACTGACAGCTCTACAGTCAAGGAATATATGTTCAATTGACTCTTCAATAGGGTTTTTGCAGATGGGACAATTAGAATCAATGTTTAGTCCAATCTGTGAAAGGTACTTCCTGCAAGAGATTCGACTGTGAAGGCATTGCCATAGGAAAAATCTGATTTTATTAGGGCACTCCAAATGCCATATCCATTCAAAGTTAGAGTTAGAGTTCTTCGGAGATTCTAGCAGTGTATAAGAAGAAGTGGTGGTAAAGACTCCTTTAGTGGTGAGGGACCAAATAGGTAAGTCAATGGGAAGGCCTTTTTGGTGGATTTTTGTTTTGGAGACGGTAGTTAACAAATCAGGAGAGGGGGAGAAGGTTAAACAATTTAGGTTCCAATTGGTACCATCAAAGACATCTCTAATTTTGGTGGAGGAATCTTTGGCCGAAGGAGGGCCTGTAACTAGGTTCCTTAGGTTACCAATATTTGGTATCCAATTGGCCTCCCATAGATTAAGATTGGAATGGATGTGAGGGGAATGTGATGCCTTTGGAGCAGATGTCCCATCCTCTGCAAATGCTTTTCCAAAGGAAGGAGGATCTATTCGTAGAGGAGCTATTGCAATAATACGATATGATAAGCTTTGCCCAAGGAATTAGAGCATTTGTAAGGAGTCTCCAGCTTAAGCTAGCCAGAGTACAAAGGTTTTTATTGAGAGCATTATGGATCCCCAATCCACCATATTTTTTGGGTTGGCATATAGTGGTCCAGTTTACCAAGTGAAGTTTCCTTTTTTCTACCGTACTACCCCAAATGAAGTCCTTTTGGACTTTATCAATCTCTTTAAGGGGTTTTCTAGGGAGTAGGGTGTATTGCATGTAATGGTTTTGGATGGAATTGAGGCATGATGACGCAAGGGTTGTTCTTCATGCCAAACTAAAGAACCTCATTTTCCAGGATGCAAGTTTGGTTCTCATCTTGTCTATGAGGAATTGGTAATCCCTAGGTCTTGGGATGTGGTGGAGGATAGGGAAACCAAGGTATGTACCAAAGTTGTTACTCTTCTTAATACCTAGAGAAGTGGTAATGCTAGTTATGATTGAGTGGTTACAATTTTTTGAAAACAGAATCTTCGATTTAGTAATGTTGATGCTTTGACCAGATAGAGAGCAAAATTGGTCAAGCCCATTTTTTATGGCCTGACAAGATTTAGCATTAGCTCTAGCCATCAGAGAAAGGTCGTCAGCAAATAATAAGTGGGAGATTTTTGGACATTTATAACCTAGGGAAATGGGGTCCCAATTTTTGATGTCCACTTGGTATTCTATATATCTGGTAAGCATTTCTGGGCAGAGGATAAAGATGTAGGGGAGATGGGGTCGCCTTGTCTAATACCTCTACATGGTTGAAAATAGTTTATAATAGTTCCATTGACTAAGATTGCTATTTTATTGGTAGAGATGCAATTTAGCAATAGTTTAGAGAATTTTGGAGGGAAATTAAAGAAATTTAGGGTGTGACGAATGAAAGATCATTCAAGACGATCAAAACCCTTTTCCAAGTCAATTTTCAGAATCATATGGCCTTGCTTACCTTTCAGTTTATTGAACTTAGAAATCATTTCCTGGATGATGATAGCATTGTCAGAGGCTCTTCTGTTTTTCATAAAGCTAGCCTGATATGGACTGATAAGTTGATCAAGGAAAGGTTTGATACGATTGGCCAGAATCTTGGTAATTATTTTATAGATAGTGTTGCATAAGCCAATAGGTCTGAAGTTTTTGATATTATTAGCATCATGGAATTTAGGAATGAGGCATAGAAAAGTTTTGTTAATTTCTGGAGGGATTTTTTGGTTTTTAAAGATGTTATGGTAGAGCTTCTTGACAGAATCCCCTATATGGAACCAATATTTTTGGAAGAAGAAAGGGTGCAGACCATCTGGTCCGGAAGACTTGAATGGTATGAAAGAGAAGACTGCACTTTTAATCTCATTATCCAGGAGGGGGGTATCTAGATGATCTAGGTTAATTTTTTTACATCTGGATTGAGTATTTAGGGGGTTAGTCCAGGAAGAGTGAGTATGAGAGGAGGTAAATGCAAAGGTAAAGTAGTTTTGGACATGGGATAGAATAAGACTATGATCATTTATCCAGTTACCAGCATTATCTTTGAAGAAAGTAATTTTGTTTCTTCTTTTTCTATTGGTGGCAGAGATGTGGAAGAATTTAGTATTTGTGTCACCATCATTAAGCCACATTATCCTGGATCTAAGTTTCCAGTAGTCTTCTTCTATCTTTAGAATATCATTGAACTCATGTTGAAGATCTAATTCTAAATTTTTTAGGAAAGAGCTGGTAGCATAGCTGTTAGAAGATTGGATGCCTTGGAGTCTAGCTAAGAGTTTTCTTTTCCTTCCCATGATATTTCCAAAAGTGTTGTCCTTCCAAGGTTTAACATTATCTATAAAGTTAGAGCTAGCCTTAAAGTAGTCACTATTATTCCAGGAGTTTATAACAACAGATTGAAACTTTGGATGTTTACACCAAAAGGTTTCTAGCCTAAAAGGGGCCTTATGAGGAGTTCTATTTCTAGGAATTAATTTAACTAGGATAGGATTGTGATCGGAGTGGGTTCTCTGTAGATGGATAATAAACCTTTTAGGAAAAAGTTCAATCCATTCTTCATTTCCAAAAACCTTATCAAGTCTTTCTAAAATAAGACTCTTATTATTATGTCTATTATTGGTCCAGGTGTATTTGCTTCCCTTGAATCCTAGATCAACTAGATTACAATTATTAATTTTAGACCAAATATATTTAGCTCTACTATCTTTGATTGGTTTGCCTCCAAATTTTTTACTAGCGGTTAAAATATCATTAAAATCACCACCTACTAGGCAAGGTCCTTTATAAGTATTACTAATATTTTCGAGGTTATCCCACATCATATTTCTATAATGAATATTGGTACTAGCATAAATCGAAGTAAAGAGCCAAGGTTTACGTAAAGGATGTACCTCTATGGTTGCATGGATCTCTTGACCTCTTCTAACAGCATTTTGGACGTTGATTATATTATCCCTCCACATCATAACTATACCACCTGACTGTCCTCCGAAGGAACTTCTATCATCTCAGTGAAACCAAATTAATTGAGCATGGCAGCATGGTTGTTCATCCTTGTTTCCAACAAAGTAACCAAGCTTGGCCTATGAGTATCTAGCATCTCCCTAAAGTTCCTCCTAAAGTTGTCATTGTTTCCTCCCCGTATATTCCATATTATGAAATTATTGGATTGATTCATGGCTAAGTTAGAGTCCGTGTTATTCATCTCCCCATTCTCCCTTATCCCCCCCTCCCCACTTGGACGGGGTTCCTCCTCATTGATGGAACTAGGATCATTGCTTTGTTTCCTATAGTTGGGTTGTGTGGAGTGTGAATATACATCGAGCATTTGTATAGGGCTAATGGGCAGCTGAGAACATACCTTTTTCTTGTGCCTCTCCGCGAAGAGAAAGATTTTTATTCCATCTAGGTTTGAGAGTTCTAGGGTTGGCCCTAAGTGAAGATTTAGGGGGACATCGTCCTCCTCCATCTCTGCCTCCACTGGCCCTGGTATGGGGTCTTCTTGTTGTTGCAGTGGGGGTACTGGTGGTGGTGGGGGGTACCATCCCTTGGTTCCCGAGATTGACATCCCAAGGGAGAAAGATGGGGTTTAGGTGGGTGTACATCTCCATTGGAAAGAATGGGAGGTCCAGTGGTGCATTTAGAGGGTGCATGGGGTTGAATTGAGGAGGCATATTCCATTGTTCTCTCATTGTTTGGTCCATTTGAGGGTTCAATGATGGAGCCATGGGATGAATGACATTGTTGAGCCATACTTGGTTGAGATAATTGTTCATTGCCAATCTCATTCCCCCCATGATAAGTTGAGATAGATATTGAATATTGTGAAAGATCACAATAGTTTCTTGGCCGTTGATTGGCACTGTGAACGAGAGGGCATGGCCCATGAGCCCTAACTCCATCCAACTCGTGGGTTGATAATCTTTTGCTTGGGGAGGTTGAGCGTAAATAATTTGGGGTTGTTCATGGGGATGGAGGGGGGGAATGTTTTCCATTTGGAGAGGGTGTCGTTGTCTCAGGATTTGGATTTTTGAGTTCTTCTCCTTAGGGTTGAAGGAACTCTTGGCATTTTGGTTAAAACAAGTTGAATTTATTGCACTGGAAGTTGGCGTGGGATTTTGGGTAGGAGGAGAGGTTAGTCGATTGGGTGGGGAGGTGATGATTGCTTCGGTTTTGTCTATGGCTTTTGATTGCCCTAGGTCATGTTTTATAGAACACTTAAAGGTTTTGTTTGGATTACCAATGGGAATGTCCATTTGGCTACTTTCTTCTATGGTCTTTGCCATTTGGCCAACATGCATGGAGGGGAAGATCTTGTCATATCTTAAGGAGGGATTTTGGGTAGATTATTTAGATAATGAAAGATTTTGGAGAGATTTCAGTTTAAGGAGGGGGATTGGGGCAGTAGGGGGTAGGATTAGTGGTAGGGGTAGATTCGTCCATACTAGAGTCATTTTGCATGGCATTGGTTTTCACTAAGGAGTTGGCAATATAAGGTGCCACGGTGGAGTCTTGCATGCAAGTATCTTGTGTGTCAAGATCCAATTCATTTTTTAATTGATTAAAACTATTTTTACTAATAAAATTGACATTATCCATAGTGGTTAGTGTCAAAACCATTTGTCTCTCTTCTAAAAGGTGGTTTTTCATGTGAGAGGTAATTTGATCAATAGTCGATTCTGGATGGGTAATGATAGGAGGAATTTGATAATTAGAAGGATTATTTTTTGTTTTATATTGGAGTGTTTGAGTAAACAAAAACTTACCTGTTTTTGCATTGAATAAATTAACCGGAATACCTGGACCTTGATTGCCTTTTGCATGGATGGTGGGCATTTGGTTTGGAGATTTTTTGCCTTGATTCTTCTTCTTGTTGAAGGAGACAATTTTTCATTTAGAGTCACAAGTATCTTGTGTAGCTACTTGTTGATGTTCTTGTCCTGCATGGTGAGGATCCAAGCTTTGCATTTTGATATAGGTGCAATGTCTTAGTGTGTGACCAAAACGGCCACAATTTTTGCAAAGAAAATCCTCCCCTTCATAGAGTATATCTTGTTTGGGGTCTCCAACAAATAGGAAGGATTGAACTGGAATTTCCAAAGGGATTTCGACACAAATCCTTGCATAACGACCTCTTAGGGTTGTTGAGGTGCATGTGTCAATTTTCAGTAGGTGTCCTATTGTATTACAAATTTTTGCTAGGATTTTACCATCGTAGAATTCAGTTGGTAATTGGGGAAGCTGTCACACCTTCTTTTTTCACTTACACCCCCGTAAGGGAGTATATAAGGGAGTTTTTCCACTTTAAGTGACATTATTCCAAATGGGATTATTTATTTAAAATTCAGAGTCGTCACTTGGGATAATTTATGGTGTCCCAAGTCACCGGTTTAAAATCCCAAATCGAGGAAAGTTGACTCTATTTACGGTCTGCGAACACAGAAATTCGGTTAAGGAATTCTGTTAACCGGGGAGAAGGTGTTAGGCATTCCCGAGTTCTGTGGTTCTAGCACGGTCGCTTTGATCATACTTGGCTTACTAAATTGTTTACTTACTCATTTTGGAACCCATGTGCTTTCACCTCTTAACCGCTTTTAAATTAAGAAAATTATCTTGGAAACGGGTCACGCGTACGTGTACCCGTTTGGCGCGTCAAAAATCATGTCACGCGGACGTGTCCACAATTAGTGACCCTTTATTATTATGAAGAAAAGTTTGGCCAAAGTTGCGTGAACGCATACTCTGGTTTGGTTTTTAGAAATCGTAATCACGTCACGCGAACGTGTACACAATCACAATTGTATTTTCCTACAAATATTCATTTTAGGAAACGTACTCTTACAAAAAAAAACATGTTCATAAGGCTAATGTTGCCCTATTAGTTCTAAGCTTCAAATGTCCCCCCAAAAAACCATTATTGAAGTACTGCAAATTAGAGAATTCGAATGCCAGGAAACGACACATACTATTGCAAATTAACACATGTGATTCTAACAAATTCTTAATGATGCCTTAAAAATGAAGGCAAATTTCATCCAGAAGCAATTTATGCCAAAGTGCCACTCCTAGAGATCCAGTACATATGTGAACAATTCCCAATCCATCGTATTGTCGTTTACACGAGTAGATTAACCCTCTAATTCAAGAAAAATCCAATTGAAATACAATGTATTCAGTATAATTGAGGGGGAGGGACTTATCAATCCTTACTTCATGGTATTTTCACAAAAAAAGTGTCCAAAGGGGCTAAAAATGATCTATAGTTGACAATACAGTATGAGTGGATACAAAGTTAATGAAGTCGAACACATTTAACAAAATCATCAGCACTCAAGAACTTTGTTGAAGTAGAATGATGGGAAGGGGTTGTTTTTGGTTGAAGGCCTTCTTCGTTGTTTTATCATTTAGGCAGATGAATAACAGGGGAATTTTATCAAATCAAATGGTTTCAACGATGCTTAAAGTCTGCTACTCTAGACCTCTCAACGCAACATATTTGCATAAGCTCGAACCACCCTCATAGACTCACAGAAAAAAAAATAGGAAGAACAGACTTCTCCAAATCATTCAAATCCATCAATAGCTCAATTCGAAGAAGAAGAAGAAGGCAAGCAAAACAATGTTGAACAGAATTGCTCAACACAATGCAGAACAGAAGAGGTTTAACAGCTTAACAATCCTAGCAAATGCCCTCAAAACACTGCATGTTTCAGCCTAATTCACTGCTCGAATTAACTGCTTTTAGCAGCACTAAAGAACAGAGCTCTTAGAGATGTAACAACGTAGATAACTTCCAAGTAGGAGAATGAGAATAGAGCACATCCAAACAAGTAGTGAAACAACTTAGTTTTAACACTATTTTAAACCAAGATTTGATAAGAATGGATCATCAAGCAGCGTACCACATTCACACATTCTGGTAAGCAACAGAGGATCCTACTGCCTGTGTGATTTAACATAAAGAAGCCAAGACAAACTAACATGGGCTAACTCACTGAGACATAAACCAATGTAGATTAATGTCAGATTTTAAAATCAAACAGAACATGATACTACATGGATCACTGAGATTCAATCCAGACATTATTGTTATCCTAGGAATACAAGAAGAATTACCAGGACTGAATTTTAGGATTTAAATAGCATATTTCCAGTACAGCAGTCTACAGAACTATTAATTAAACCCCTGAACTTTACGGCTCAAACAAGGTACAGCGGAAGGAACNTTGCAAGCAACAGAGGATCCTACTGCCTGTGTGATTTAACATGAAGAAGCCAAGACAACCTAACATGGGCTAACTCACTAAGACATAAACCAATGTAGATTAGTGTCAGATTTTAAAATCAAACAGAACATGATACTACATGGATCACTGAGATTCAATCCAGACATTATTGTTATCCTAGGAATACAAGAAGAATTACCAGGACTGAATTTTAGGATTTAAATAGCATATTTCCAGTACAGCAGTCTACAGAACTATTAATTAAACCCCTGAACTTTACGGCTCAAACAAGGTACAGCGGAAGGAACATAGAAGGACTAGATGAAACCTTAAGTCAATAACTCCATCACATCCTTCCGGATTTCAAATGTTAAGCAGGAACAAGAATTGGGTCAAACTTTCATGTTTTAATGTCATAACAGAAGTAGGAAAAAGGATACGACTCACGAATATACGAACATTCCTTCGACATGAGAGCAATCCATGAACATAGACCAATGAATCAGAATCACAGCACACTATTAACACGAGCACGGATTATATTTCAATACTTGAAACCTTGGATTTTCATGAATAATCACAAAACTTCCCTTTTGTTTCCTCAGAAGAAAAAAAAACAATCTGAGCTTAGTTTCATTTCAAAAATTTCCAGTTACAAAACATCGGAGAAAATCGACATAACTCAACAAACTTTACCAAAAAATCTCAGCTAGTCACAAATCGATAAGAAACTAAATTCGAACTCACTGATAACGCTCAAATGACAGCAACAATGGAGTACAAACTCAGAAATTCCATAGCTCAAGAACAGCTGAGAAAATAGAGTTACATGGGAGAAAAATAAAAATCAAACCTGAAGTTGCAACCTTCTTTTAATAATTATAGCTCTAATAATATGCCTTTTGCCTCCGAGTCATAGCGAGGTTCAGCAGCAAATCAGCAGGACGACAATAGAAAACCTAGCTTGAACTTCAATTTTTATCTCTTTGGAACTCAAATCTGGATTCCGAAAAATAAAAAATGTGTATGCTTCTCTTAACCTCTGAAAGAACTCTTAAACGAAGGAAAAAAATCAGAGAACGGAAACCAGAAGTTAAAGAAAACCCTTCAACTTTTCTCTCCAAATTTTTTTTACCAGCCTCCCCCTCTCAAAATCGGATCCCGTTCCTTTTTGAGAACGAACCACTTGATGAATGTGGGGCTCGGATTGAGTGTAATCAATCCAACGCCTCACACTCATCCAGCGAATCGTCTCTAGGACCTTCTAATCGCGTGTCTTATCTCAAAATCGAGCGAGTGCAAGGAAGGAGAATCTTCGGTGTCAGAAACCGTTAGAAATGGTGATGAGGAGAGAAGGAGGAACGCGTGGGTTAAGGATTTGGGATTCACTCGCCCGAATTTGGACTGGATTTGGGGCTTGGTTCGAGTGTCTTCTTGGAGAAGAAGAACACTGCGCTGATGGGGTGTTAGGGTTCTGGGTCTCGTTTTTTTGTGTGTTATAGTTGGAGTGGGTCGGGTTTGGTTGGGGAGGGTCGTGTATGGGTTTAAGTGGAAAGGAGAGGTATTGGGCTAAGGTGATTTGGAGTGAAAGAATTGGGCTTCAGAATTTCAATTTGGCCCAATTTCGAATTTTTAAGAATAGACCCCTTTTTTATTAATAGAAATTCTTAAATTAAATTCCTAAATTAATCTAAATTGTAAAATTAAGCTAATTGTCTAACTATAAAAATTATAAAAGTTACTCAATCCTAAATTAAAAGAGAGAAATCAATAATCCAAAAATTAAAAGGAAGAAAAATGTAAAATGAGCTATTTTTGTAATTTTTATTTTTTATAAAACAAGTAATTACTAATTAATTCCAAAAAAAATGTAAGAATCAAATCTAAATTCAATGCATGGTAGTTTTGGTATATTGTTTTTTGATTTTTAATGGAAATTAAATATGCACAAAATTAGTAAAATTCTACAAAAATCCTATAAAATTGCAAAGAGAAAAAAGAAATTATTTTTCTTGTATTTTATGGGAATAATTCATATAGGGCAAAAATCACATGCTCACAGCTGCCCCTCTTTGCCCGGAAATACGAAGAGTTTTTGTGCAAAGATAAGTGAGCGGATACGAGCGATTTTTGCCCGTTTGAATACTCCGTATGAAGCATTTTGAAAGATTTGGATGCACCCTTCTTCTGAGGTTGCCTACGTATCCTTGGCTAAAAAAGAATCAGGTCAGTGTAGTTCGGAAAGTTTGGTAGCTGGGACTACCATGAAGCTGTGATTTCACTGTTGTTGTTGTTGTTGCTACTGCTTACTGAACCCCCTTATTACACCATGTTAAAATAAAAAGAAGCTAGACTAGGCTATGATCTAAGCATTACAAAAATCCTATCTATATCTTCAAACTTGCTCTTGTGTTTCTTGTCGCCTTGTTGACTTGTATTCTCCCGGTGAAATTCCTTTGTTGCCGCCTTGAATTGTAATCTGAGATGTTTTCCCTTTTCTTCAGGTGGACGCCTGACTGCTAAAGTCGAATTGTATCCTGAGATGTTTTTCCTTGCTCTCCAGGTGGATGCCTGACTGCTGAACTTGATATGTATTCCCATCCTCTCCAGGCGAGGCTCCTGACTCCAAAACGTGAATATATTCCCATGCTATCCAGGCGGGCTCCTGACTTCGAAACATGAATGTATTCCCCTGCTATCCA